AATCGTAAAGAAATAGATAATAACTATTGTTAACTACATAAAACAGTAACTGAGGCCAGGTACAGTGGCTCACACCTATAATCCCAGCATTTTGGGAGGCTGGGGCAGGTGGATCATGAGCTCAGGAGTTCAAGACCAGCCTTGCCAAGATGGTGAAACTCCATCTCTTCTAAAAATACAAACATTAGCTGGGCATGGTGGCACGTGCCTGTAATCCCAGCTACTTGGGAGGCTGAAGCGAGAATTGCTTGAACCTGGAAGGCAGAGATTGCAGTGAGCCGAAATCGCACCATGGCACTCCAGCCTGGGTGACAGAGCAAGGCTCTGTCTCAAAAAAACAGACAAACAAAAAAACCAAAAACAGTAACTGACAGTTGAAGGCGTATGTAAAATAAAGATGATACTAAAATGTAAGATAAGAAGTGGTATAGTAACTATTGTTAACTAAAACAGTAACTGAGGCCGTGGTGGCTCAGGTCTGTAATCCTGGCACTTTGGGAGGCCAAGGCAGGCAGGCAGGCAGGTCACCTGAGGTTGGGAGTTTGAGACCAGCCTGACCAGCATGGAGAAATCCTGCCTCTACTAAAAATACAAAAATTAGCTGGGTGTGGTGGCATGTGCCTGTGGTCCCAGCTACTTGGGAGGCTAAGGCAGGAGAATCCCTTCAACCCAGGAGGCAGAGGTTGCAAAGAGCTGAGATCGCACCATTGAACTCTAGCCTCGGCAACAGAGCAAGACTCCATCTCAAAAAAAAAAAAAAAGTTGTGGTGATCAACATCAAAGCATTCTAAAGTCCTTGTGTCCTTTAGGGGAATTAAGATGCCTAATAACTGACTATGTTTAGATTTGTTTTTTAAAGCCTTAGGATAAAAAAACACCATAGAGACAAACAGTTACTCATGAAAGAAGAAACAATTTACAAGGAAGACAAGAATTCTTAATTGGAACATACCTAGTAACATAGATTTAAAACTATATATAAAGCAAAACTTGACAGAATTACATCTAAAACTGACAAATCCATAGATCCGTCAGAGAGAGAGAAGAAAGAGAACGGGGAGAGGAGGGGAGGGGAGGAGAGGGGAGGGGAGGGGAGAGGAAGGACAAGCAACAAAAAGCAGAGGCTTTAGAAATAAAGGGAATATTTTCAATAACTTTGAAAACTTATTTCCTAGAAAAATTAAGTTTACCAAAACTGGCTCAAGAAGATACAGACAACTGATAGGTCCTGGTAACAAAAGAGGGAAAGGAAGACAGGGATGTTGAGGATCACTTTTAAGCCTGAAACTTGCTGAGCTTATGAATGTGAGTTGTATTCACTCAGAAGAGAAAACTAGAAGCACAGGAGCAGGTTGGATGTTGTAGTTGGTCTTCTGGGGAATGTATGCGGGGAGGGGTTAGTAATGGTGGTAGGGGTGGGGTGCAGAAGTCATAAATTTAAATTTTGGATATGTTGAAATGGTGGTGCCTTTAAGGTATGTAAGTGGAGATATTAAGTGTGCAGTTGGATCTATGAATCAGGAGGTTTGGAAGAGATCTGGGTTGAAGATACATATTTGTGAGTTATCTGAATTCAAACCATAATTAAAGTCAAGGGCGTGGCTGAAATAATCTTGTTCTCAAAGTATGGTCCCTGGACCACCAACCTCAACATTACCTGGGAAATTAACAAAAATGCAAATACTCAGGCCTTACCCTGGACCAAATGAATCAGAAACCCTGAAAATGGGGCCCTGCAGTCTATGTATTAACAAGCCCTCCAGTGATTCTGAGGGCTTGCTACAATTTGAGAACTGCTGACAAGGAGTGAGAAGGCAAGAGGTCTTGGTCCTTAACTTGAGAGATCTAACATTTAACAGACAAAAATGAGCCTGTAAGAAAGACTAAGAGCAGCAGAAACAGAGGGGTAAGAAAATACGAAGAGTGGGTAGGGCATGGTGGCTCAAGCCTGTAATCCCAACACTTTGGGAGGCCAAGACAGCTGGATTGCTAAAGCCCAGTTCAATACCAGCCTGGGTAACATGGCAAAACCCTGTCTCTATGAAAAAATTCAAAAATTAGCTGGGTATGACAGCACACACCTGTAGTTCCAGCTACTTGGGAGACTGAGGCAGGAGGATCGCTTGAGCCTAGGAGGCAGAGGTTGCAGCCAGACCAGATCACACCACTGCACTCCAGCCTGAGCAACAGAGTCAGACCCTATCTCAAAACAAAAGCAAGCAAGAAAGAAAAGATAAGAAGAGTGCTTTAAAACAAGTGTTTTGAGAGACAGGGTGCTGAATACTACTGAGATTTGATGGCAATAGCTCCGGAAGAAATTAAAATGGGCTGAGAAGTGAGCAGTTGAGAAAATAGTGTTAAGTATGAAGACAGTTCTGAGCAGTTTGATTAGAAAGGGGCAACAGAGAGGGTGAAAATAAAAGTGGTTGACAAGTAAATGGAGGATTTTTTTTAAAAGGGCAGTAACGAGCATGATCAACAGCTGAGGGATGAATATGGCCGAAAGAGAGTGACTATACCAGAGAGTTGAGGACCCGACAGCAATGGCAGACCCAAGGGGACAATGCAGCTGTCTGCCTCAGCAAGTGAGGTCTTTATTACAGTGAATTGCTGCACACAACGATACTTTGTAGTAAAAAGCACACCAATTTCTTGTCATTTTCATCATTGTTTTTTATATTTCTATTTATCTTTTGAGACAGAGTCTCACTCTGTGGCTCAGGCTGGAGTACAGTGGCATGATCTCGCCTCACTGCAACCTCTGCGTCCTGGGTTCAAGTGATTCTCCTGCCTTAGCCTCCTGAGTAGCTGGGATTATAGATGTGCGCCACCACATTCAGCTGTATTTTTAGTAGAGATGGGGTTTCTCCATGTTGGTCAGGCTGGTCTTGAACTCCTGACCTCAGGTGATCCACCCTCCTGAGCCTCCCAAAGTGCCAGGATTATAGGCATAAGCCTCTGCGCCCAGCCCATCATTGCTTTTTAAGTTCTCTACAGACATTGTGTACCTTACGACTACACCCAGATGAACTCTTCCCACTGCCCTATCCTTGGTGCCATAGGATAGTATAAGGTTTGAGGGAAAAGGAGGAGGGGTTGGGATCCAAAGCGTAGGTAAAAGGACTGTCTTTTGGCAGGAGGGGCAGATAATCTTTTTAACTAGAAGGAAGTAAGTAACCATGGAAGGGCACAGATGTGGGAAGTGTGGCATCAGGAAGTTGAGGGGGTTGTCATCGCATGCCTTCTATTTCGCCTGTGAGGTCACCTGCAAGGCCATCCCTACTTGGGGAGGGATATGCCACAGTCTCTTGGCCTACTGCAATTAAACAGCTGATTCACCAAATCCATACTCACTAAGCAAATGATTTGGTTCCCCTTATAAGGCTTGCCCATGGGGCAAGAATGTGCTGACCATACGGATTTCTCTTACTAGCTAGGCACAGTGGCTCACATCTATAACCCCAATGCTTTGGGAGGCTGAGGTGGGAGTACTGCTTGAACTCAGGAGTTTAAGACCAGCCTGGGCAATAAAATGAGACCTCATCTCCACAAAAAAAATAATTAGCTTGGTGTGCTGGCACTCATCTTTAGTCCCAGCTACTAAGGGAGCTGAGGCAGGAGGATCACTTGAACTCAGGAGACTGAGGCTGTGGTGAGCCATGATCACACTACTGCACTCCAGCCTGGGTGACAGAGCAAGACTTTATCTAAAAAAAAAAAAAAATCTCACAGTAAATTCATAAATTGACTTTTTTAACCTGAATTGGTTTCTGTGTAGCCTGACTATGGATAACAAATTGTGGTCCTTTTTAGAGTTATATCTCTTGTTGAGTTATTGCTTTTACACAAAGTGACTCAAGTAAATCTCTGGGCCTTCAGAGGCATGGGTCAGATCCACAATAAGCAACAAATCAGGGTAACCTCCCAACTCCTAGGTCATGCCTTCCTCAGCAAAAGCTGGCTTTTCATTAGCTGTCACTGGCCCAATTTCCACCTCTTCTCTCTCAATTCATTTTTTTATGCATCTATTCACTGAGATATCTTAAATCAGCATTTACTGTACTGATTTACTAGCTTCTCTATGAAGGTATTTCCAAGAACAATACAGGAACGAAAACAAGCACATCAGTGAAATATATTGGTATAACATGATTATTATTTCATTGTTCATTCAACAAATATTTACAGATCATCAACCCTGTGCCAAGCTTACTATGAGAACTGTGGGAGATACAGAGTCCTCATGATATTTATAATCCAGTTAAAAAAAAAAAAAGCCATCAGTTCCACAAATAACATACTTGCAGAAATGCACTTTGGTTTAAGGGGAGAGAAAATCAAAAGACAAAACACCCTATAGTAAAAGTGATTAAAGCAGAAATAGGCTAACAAAGGAAATCCTGCCATTGAGTAACTTTAAAAATATGATGATTATTTAGAGTCAGCCTTGCTTAGAGGCAAAGGTTATGGCAATCCCTTTGGAATTAAGCATGAAATTAACTCAGGACTTTCTGATCTATAAACAACATGCTAGTCTCTCTATAGAAGCAGTAAGTCTGGCTTAGAATTAATCTACAAGTTCATTTAGGGTTTTGCCCCCCAATCCTCAAGTATTGCCATTCAATACTAGATCTGTCCTTCCTTTCTCCCTCTTGCTCTTCGTCATCAAGGTTTGTGCCCCATCATAAATATGATGCTGTTTTTCCATGGTTTGGTATTTTCTGCCATGGAATCATCTCAGTTATGCACAGTCTTTCACACACTACCAACCAAGTTCTGTGTAAATTAACTGATGACCTTAGGTATTTTTTTAAGTGCCTAGCACACATCAGATGCTCAGTTAAGATGCATTTCCTCCTTTCTTTCCTTCTGTTTTTTTTCTCTCCTCTGGTGAGGAAGGGAGGGAAAAACAGGAACAAACAAAAGATAGAGCTCTTGTAAGACAGGATCTCTTTGGTGTAAAAATACTAAGAAAGTTGAAACCATTTTTTATTGCCTACCTTGTGTCTGCGGGCTGTAAGGAGACAGGAGTTTGGATCTTTTCTTTTCATAGCCCTTCTGGGTGATGTCCCCTAAAATAGTAAGAAACAGAAACAGGTTATGCATTGTTCTTACTCTGTTGTTTACCACTGTAAAAATAAAATTAATTACAGCGTTATAGAACTACCACATATAGAGGCAGGGGGCTAGGGTGGGGAGATGTATGGCTCTTTGCCAAGGATTTTTCTATGTATGATTTCCCACAGGCTTGGAGCTGACTTCCTGCAGAATATTGCAGAGCTTGTCCCCAAACCAATCTTGCATAGCAGTTTGCTGTATACCACGACAGAGACCTCCAAGTTCCTAGGCCTCCCTAACTTCCTTGGTATTTAAGATATCCCAAAATGGAATGCTGCAAGACTGACAAGGATTTCTCTCTGGAGTTTCAGTTTACCAAATGAGTACAACTGGTTTTTGAGGTATTAACTTATACTGCTATACAGAACCACATAAAGTTAAGAGAAAACAAAGTTCAGGCTCTGGATGGGATAATTAAAAGGTCTTCCTGTACCCTAACACCTGTGCTAGAACCTGAAACTGGAATTCCCGCATCCTCTTCCCTTGGTTCACTGCTTTGTCTTATTCACGTAGCTCTCTTTTCCACAAGGTTAAATTTAAAAGTATCTATGATGCATACACAAAGTAGTACATATACAACAAATGCAGTAAGGATAAACTGACAAAAACAGGAGAAAATCTGTAGTTGAAGTGGCAAGAAATATACTAGCTACTAAAGAAAGGGGAACAGATGGATGGGTAGAGAGTAGGGTTAAAAGGAACAGGAAACGCCAAGCGCGGAGGCTCACGCCTGTAATCCCACCACTTTGGGAGGCTAAGGTGGGCAGATCATGAGGTCAGGAGATCGAGACCATCCTGGCTAACACAGTGAAACCCCATCTCTACTTTAAAAAAAAAAAAAAAAAAAAAAAAAACCTTTTAAAATAAGAGGTAACTTATTTACCATGAAGCCTTACATAGAACCTAATATATAATACAGGAAAAAGGTCAAATTGTAGTATAAAAAGTACTTTAAACATTCAAATTTTTAATATTCACTTATTATATAGTCAGTTGATGGGGGAAAAGCATATTTAATGAATACAAATTTGCAATCAAGGGTGATAAATGTCAGGTGCTGTTGGCCTCAGCCTCCATGCTGCAATGGATGGTGGAGAGGAAGCAGGGATAACTGAAAAGGGCTAGAGCAGAGGACTAACACTTTGCACTGCCGCAAGTTCACACTTGCTGGGAGAATGAGCTGTCAGGAACCAAGACGAAAAGCCAGAAGGAGTAGATACTGCTCCACTGCTACTACAGGCATCAGGGCAACAGTAAGTAGTAGCCTGAATTAAAGATAGTGGTAGAAGAGATGAATGAAGTGAATGAATTAAGAGGAAGACCATAGGATTTGCTGACTGGTTTAAAGCAGGGGCCGGGCGCTGTGGCTCATGCCTGTAATCCCAGCACTATGATAGGTTAAGGCGGGCAGATCATGAGGTTGGGAGTTCATGACCAACCTGGCCAACACAGTGAAACACTGTCTCTACTAAAAACAAAAAAAAATTAGCTGAACGCGGTGGCGTACACCTGTAATCAGTAGGCTAAGGCAGGAGAATCGCTTGAACCCAGGAGGCGGGGAGGTTACAGTGAGCCGAGCTCGTGCTACGTCCTGGGTGACAGAGGAAGACTTCATCAGAGAGGCACGGAAAGAAAGTAAGGTGGAGGTGGTTTCTCACTTGAGGTGTGTGTTTGGTGAGCTTCAAGAAGAGAGTTAAGCTTAGGACAGGCCTGTGGGACACATAAGAAGAGATGGCTAATCAACAGTTGGTTTTATGGATCCAGAACTCAGGAAAGAGAGATTTGGAATCATTGGGATATAGTTGAAAAGTAAAATGATATAATCTTCTTAATCTGCAACTCTCTTTCTTTTTTTTTTTTCTTTTTTAAGACGGAGTTTCAATCTTGTTGCCCAGCTGGAGTGCAATGGCAAGATCTCAGCTCACTGCAACCTCTGCCTCCCATGTTCAAAGGATTCTCCTGCCTCAGCCTCCCAAGTAGCTGGGACTACAGGCATACGCCACCACGCCCAGCTAATTTTGTATTTTTAGTAGAGACAGGGTTTCTCCATGTTGGTCAGGCTGGTTTCAAACTCCCAACCTCAGGTGATCCACCCGCCTCGGCCTCCCGAAGTGCTGGAATTACAGGTGTGAGCCACCACACCCAGCCGTAATTTGCAGGTTTCTATCAAAATTGATTTAGCAGCTGTACTTCTAAGAATTTGTTCAATGATAATATTCACACAAGTACACAAAAATCAATCAGAATATCCTGTGCTCTATTGTTTATAGTAAAAAAAAAACACACACACACAAAAGCTGGCAGCAATCTAAATGCTTATATTATATATCGTCTATATTAGTAGCTTTCAACTAGGAGAGTTCTGTCCCCCAGGAGACATGTGACAATGTTGGAAACATTTTTGTCACCATGGAAGAAGAGGTGCTACTGGCATCTAGGGGATAGGGGTCAGGGATGCTGCTAACATCCTGCAATGTCCCACAACAAAGATTTATCCAGCCCAAAATGCCAGTAGTGCTGAGGATGGAAAACCGTGATCTATACAATAATATGCAAGTAATCCAAATATATTGCCACAGGAGATGTCTTTAATACATTACGTGTAAAAGGCAAGCTGCAGAACAGTAGGTATACATGATTTGATTCTGTGAAAAATAAAAATAAAAAAAAGTAATAGATATGTTTGCATATATTCAGAAAATAATCTGGAAGGCCATATACTAAATTGTTTATCCTCGGGTGATTTTCACGGGGTGTGTGTCGGGGGGGCGGGGGTGTATACACATATATTATGGAGGCAGGGTCTCCCTCTACCACCTAGGCTGGAGGGAGTACAGTGGCATGATCATAGCCCACTGCAACCTCAAACTCCTGGGCTCAAGTGATCTTCCCACCTCAACCTCCCAAGAGGCTGGGACTATAGGAATAGGCCATCATGCCTGGCTAGTTTTTAAATTTTTCCTCAAGACAGAATCTCGCTTTGTTGCTCAGGCTGGCCTTGGGCTCAAGCAACCCCCTAGCCTCCCAAAGTGCTAGAATTACAGGTGTGAGCCACACCTGGACTGTTTTACATACTTTAGTAGAGTTTGATTTTTAAAAAATAAGCCTGATTCACATAAACTCAAAAGTACACATTTTTTCTGTCCATCAAGACCTGAATGCATATAAAAAAAATAAAAAAAAAAAAAAAAAGAAAGAAAAAAAATTTTTTAAGTACACATTTTTCTCTCTAATAATGAATGGTCCATAGGTGTATATTTGCTAACAAGATGGTTTACATAGTATATTCAATTTTAAGGATAAAATTTTTGATAGGCCATTGGATGGGGTAAAAAAAATAATAATAATATGTTTGCATACATGTAAAAAATTTTTTTCATATATGCACTGGAAAAATGTGGATGTTTACACACCAAAATATCAACAGTGGTTAGCTACGGCCTGCAAGATTATGAAGTGGTATTAGTTTCTTTTCCTTCTTTCCTTCTTGCTCTAATTTTTCTACAATGAACATTATTTCAAGAAACAATAAATATTTTAAAACTTCAATCATGACTACTTACTACGCTATACAAATTTAAGTACAATGGTCCTTCATCTGTTTCCCTAGTGAAATACAGAAACTTTCTGTGAATTTTTGTTAAAAAAATTAATTAAACCTTTTCAAATTAGCCAACTCAAGACTTTAGGAAATTTCAAACAATACACACAGCTAACAGGGGTACAGGAGCGTACCAAGGAAACCGTCATTAGTAACAGGAAACCATGTCTTCTATTGTAAAAGAAATACCAGAGCATTCTTCTGTCCCATTCCCCACTCACAAAATCCTCTACTTCCACCCCCATCCTGGCACAAAGGACACTTCTGATGGCTCAGAACACATCTGGCAAAGTGACAAAGTGAAAGGCCTTTAAAAAGCTTTCTTCAATGCTTAAGTCTCAGTCAGGCACTGTCAGTAAATGATCGTGGGACAATCTGTTAGATTTGGCATCCTGGACATTAATCAACTACTAACCTCCTCATGTTTTGAAAGAGGTCAATCAAGAAAGAGAGTCTAGTTCGGCCATGCCAATTAGCTCCATCAGATCCACAAATGAGCAAAGAAATTAAGGAGACCTGGAAGAAGCTGAGCTGCAGTGAGAATGTGAGGACTACGATGCTAGGCCTACAGCAACTTTAAAATGCCCTCCCCCTTTTCTGACTACAAGACCCTGCTCAAAAGTCATCCCTTTGTGAGGGCTTCCACTACTTCCTCCTAGTGCTCCTACAAATCTGCATACATGTATGTGACAGCACTTAGCGCACCACTGGTATTTTAATTATGTGTTTACACCCCATGTCTCCCTACTAGACTGTGCACTTGAGGGCAGGGATTGTGTCTTGTTCATCACTGTGGCCCGCCCACAGCCTGGCACAATAGACGCTTGTTGAATGAGTGACTGAATGAATTAATAAAATGGAGGCAGTGAGAGTACAATAAATCAAAGAGACATGTGTACTTGGGTGGAAAACTAGAAATGGAAGAAAAAGAGTTCTTTAGCAAGAAGTGAAAGGGCCAGGGAGAGGAATTTAGTGAACCTTAAGTTTACTGAAACTTGACAGCTAGGCCTTAAAGGTGAACGCAAAAGCAATGCTTGGACTGCCTGAAGAGAGGAATTGTACATAAATCACAAGGTACTAAAAGCTAGAGAACTCCACGCCAGATATAGATACATTCCTTAGCTAGAGGGCAAGACCAGACAGAAAGAATTCAGTGAAAATCTGTTATTTCACATTTCTGTGGTTGCCACCTATAGTATGTGCTCTTAAATCATCCTCACCACCTGTACTTACACAGATTTTGCTGCACTAAAGCAATTCTTTTCAACCCTGTCCAATTTTTAAGAGTCTCCCAAGGAACTTGCAAAAATACGAATTCACAGACCCCTCCCATGGAGACTCTAACGCACTAAG